TGACAAAAGAAAAATAGGATTTGAAAGATTTTTAAGAGGTAGAAATTAAATTCTTGATGATTCATTTGATTACTGGAATATAGGTAAAGGAGAAAAATCAAAGTTTATTCCTAGATTTCTGCTTTGTGGAGTTAGATGGTACTGTTTACTGAAATAGGTAACACAAGAGCAAAGTGGGTAGAGGGAGAAGTGGATAGAGGGGTGATTTTATTTTGGGACCTGTTGATGTTCAGTAGGCCCTTGAGTATACAGTTCTTGAGCTCAGGAGGGTGATCTGAATTGAAGATATACATGTGGAATTTGCTGGCATGTAGATGATAACTGAAACAAGAGAGCAGATGGAGTTACTTGGGTATGATATGTAGCATGGGAATAGATGATGGCCACATTTAGGAGATCCTTAAGAATTCCCATTTAAGGGGCAGACTGAGGAAGAGGAATCTGCAACAGGAAAAGGATCTGATAGAGAAATAGAAAAAAAAATCAAGAGAGAGTGACATAAGAAAAGCTAAGTGCTTCAGCCATAACAAAAGCTAGAGAGAGGTCAAGTAAAATAAGGCATAAACAATCTAAATTAGATATTGGAAGAAGGTAACTGATAACCTAAGTACAAGTCCTTACAGTGGAATTGTATGAGCTCAAACCAGATGTGTAGGAAGTGAGAAAGTAGAGATGGATGCATGTAGTGAAAGACAATTTCTGGGTTGCCCTTTTTGTTCATCATTTCAGCATGATTTCCATGAATTCATCTATGATTAATAATGAGAAATATATATTTAAGTGTGCCTTTTCATATTACATTAAATTCTGGAAATTTGTTACAGTCTTCTCATACATGTTGCTTCTTTTCTTCAGATATAGTGAAAGCTTCTGAACAGATGGTTGCCTGAAGATTTAGCTATAAAAATTAGTGGAAAAGCCATCTATATCAGAATTCTAATTATTGTATTTTTTTCTACAGCTGTAATTTATACAAACACAAATGTCTAGGTATTCTTTTTTAGAATTTGGTTTCTAGGAGTGAACTCATAAGATAACAAGAGCTCAGTTTTTAAAGATATAACAGAATTTCCTCATTTTGTTTGAAGGCAATTCTGGAAAAATGCATATTATTCCATTTTACAAAAACCAATATTCTGAAATGCTTTAGATGAGTGAACTCATAAGATAACAAGAGCTCAGTTTTTAAAGATATAACAGAATTTCCTCATTTTTTTTGAAGGCAATTCTGGAAAAATGCATATTATTCCATTTTACAAAAACCAATATTCTGAAATGCTTTAGATTGAAATGCAGAATTGTATTATTATGTTTCCTATTGTCTGAAAGCCAGTAAAAGCAATAGTGGTAGACTCATGAGGGGGTTTGCTTTGGTTTTTCCTCTCTGGAAATGAGATTATGGAATTTATGACAATCTTGAATTCTCAGGCTATACAAGCCATACAATAAATATCCAGAGGGTCATCTGGAAAACATGAACATTTCTGATAATTTATTTTATTTTTTATTATTATTATTTTTTTCCTTTTTCTCTTTTTTTTCGTGACCGGCAACGGATCGCAACCCTCAGTGTTGCTCCCGTACCGGACCGGGACTGGGAACGGGATAGCAACCCTCAGTGTTGCGCCCGCACCCCGCTCAGCCAGTGAGCCGCAGGTCTGTATGTGGGATCCGAACCCTCGGCGGGAGCATCACCGCGCTCCCAAGCGGCGCACTGTAGCAGTGAGCCACCAGGCTTGTGGGATCCGAACCCTCGGCGGGAGCGTCACCGCGCTCCCAAGCGGCGCACTGTAGCAGTGAGCCACCAGGCCGGCCCCATTTCTGATAATTTAGAAGTGGGATTTCTTGATTAAAAGACTCATATAGATTTCCTCTGCAAAAGACAAAACTCATCTGATTAAGAAGTACCTTAGAGAAGACAGTTGTGTCACAAATCTACTATTAGCTCCCTTTGATACTGAGAGTTTCGGTGTGGATTGTGAAAATTTTGGGGTATGAGAAAATAAATGATTTTTTACATTTTCGGCATGGAAAGAAAATATAGATCATAACTATTTTTCTCTGAAGCAGTGTTTCTTAACCTGATTTAAAAAACTCCTCACAGTAACTTGCAAAATCCGTAGGAGTTATTGGGTATTGAGAATCACACTTCCCTTCCTACCAAGCAGTTCCACCTCCTGTCCCCAAAGACAACTTACATGCCTCTGCTTTGTACTTTGTTATGTGATTCCCTTCAACTAGAATATCTCTTTATATCTTATCCACTTTCCTCCATTTCTACGTATTGATATTCATCAAGGTCCAGATCAAATACCACCTATACTGTTATGTAAGAAGTCATATTATCAACATACTACACATAATATATACTGTTTCATATGGTCGCTATTTGCAAACTTATTTCTAGTTAGAATGCAAGCTTCTAGAAGAAAAGGATTATGTCTGATGCCTACCATGTTGCCTAGTGTGATGCCTAACATATGATCATCACTATATATATGCTTGTTCATTGTAATTATATTTCAGATATTCAAATTAAGAGTAAAGCTTGAATTTGGAACATTTCTCCCTTTTTCTGCACTAGCCACAATACAGAAGACCAGAAAAACGGGTCAGGATCTGTCCTTTGAGAGCCTAGTCATTCAAAATTTAGAATTCATCCAGTTCCAACCAGAAACAATCATGTGTACATAGTGAGTGCAAGTTTCTCCTACAGAAAATAAGATTGAAACTGACAAAATATTAATTTTCAAAGAAATTTCTCTTATTGCTGTGATGTAGGTCTTTGATTTTTTTGATCTGCTGGTTACAGTGGGAAGTTGTCTTACCCAATATATTTGGGATACTAATTTGTCAATTTATTTATAAAGTTGTTTAAAGTAGAGAGACATTAAAGAAGTGTATAGGTACTATAATTTATAACACACAAATAATCATTTAGCAGTCTTTTCAAAATTTGACCTCTTGTTTCACTGTGGGTATTATATTTAGAGTTTATTATTCTCTTTCTGGCAAAAATCTCCAAAATGCGTTGTCTACTGTATTGGGTTGCAGTAGATACATTGTGTTCACAATGTTGGATTTTTTAATAGGAGCAAGAGTCTAAGGAATATTTTTTTAAGTAATGAGTGTAGAATCTTTCTAGATTTTTATGTTTACTGTCCACTTCTATATATTAAAATTTTCTCACTTTCTCCTAAGCTAATATTTTATCTTAAGGACTTATTTTAGAATCTTTCCATAGCATTCAAGATAGAATATATAGAAATAAGTCTCCTTTTGTTTCACAATCATATCTAATTATTTAACATTTTTATTCAAAATTTAATTGAATTACATAATATGATAACAATGGGCATAATTTGGGGACATGTACAACTGATTCATAACAAGTAGCATTAAACCGGTTGGAGCAGAAGTGCTTGAGGCATACTAGAGAGGAGTAGCACGTTAGCTGTCAGTGTTAGTATTAAGCATGACGTGGGCAGCATTCAATACATTTTACAGAGAATGGAGAGTAACTGTTAATCTGGTGAACTGGTTAAGTGGAGAGTGGTTAAGAGATCTTCTGTTGTAACCTTATTTGATACTAATATCTGTCTGACATTGCTCCACAGAAAAATTGAGGACAAATATTTTATTCATAATTGAATAACTTTACCTTCTGTCTTAGCTGAAGGACAATGGAGTTAATGAGGGGGGGATAAATGAGAATCTGCTGCAAAATAACCGTCTTTACTGGATGTGTTGTGTTAATTCAAGGAGAGCTACCAAAGATCTACATATAGAGGAAAAAATAATGTAATACCTCTAGGCTATTTCAGGTATATTTGTTTCATTTCTGGATTTATAGTGATTCTTATGAAGAATTCATATGACTAAAATTTTTGAAAGAATGAGGTGCAAGAGAGAATAGAAAGTTGGGAAAATGCATTTAGTTTTTCCTTATGGAAATTGATTATGGAAACTCTCATAGTATCATAAACCACTCTTGGTGATTTAAGTCAAATCATAATTTTGTGACATAAAATATCAGAATGGGAGTGGGGAATTAAAGTTAGCTGAGGATGTTCTAAAGATGAAGTTGAAGAATGGGTGGATGGAAGATCCCTATAGTAAGATTGGATTTTGTCTTTACATAATATTTAGAGATAGAACAGTTCTTAGATATCATCTAATCCAGTAGTTCTCAACCCTGGCTATTCATTTGAGACATAGACAGAAAAAAAAAAAATATATATATATATATATATTTAAGTCACATTTCTTATAGGTCATCCCAAACTTCTTTCTTAATGCAGTGAATTTATTCAGTTAGTATAGTGTTTAAATATCCCCTCATTATTCTTATAATTATTTCATTATTATTTTTGGTAATGTGATTAAATGACTATGAAGGGAGGTCACATGAAATGATTTCCAGAAAATACCTTTGATAGCATTCTGCTGTAAAAACAAATAACTGGTTCAAGAAAGTTTTTGACTAGCATAATATTGTAAAATCCAACTACTTACTTTCAGGGCTGTTTTTTTGATCCCCCAGAAACCCTGTTTGTCTGAGCAATGTTTGCCTAAGGTTCTTTCTGAAGTCCTAAGAATTTTCCTTGAAGTATTAAGACATCCTCAAAAGAATTTCATCATTTATGAGTATTGACCCAGTGCCTCAAATGCAGGATATTTGTTTTGCTATTGGAAGATAAACTAAAATGAAATTAAATAAAAATATGAGCAATACTGTTTCTGGTTTTTGTCATGTTAAAACTCTGCACATGGGCCAGCCTGTGGCTCACTTGGGAGAGCGTGGTGCTGACAACACCAAGTCAAGGGTTAAGATCCCCTTACTGGTCATCTTTTAAGAAATAAAAACAGCAACAAAAAAACCCTCTGCATAAAAGTGGGTTTCGGTGGGTTTAAATGTCACCTAGAAAAATAAGGTAGTTTAGAGTTTTACTTTGCAGGTGTTAGGTTTTTCTTTACATTTTGATCTTTTGCTTTTCTAGGGTTTTGAAGGTGTTTCTTTCACGAACAGCCCAACGGATTCCATATATGACTGGTGGACGGGTCATGAGGATGCTGGCAGTAATACTCTTGGTAGTGTTTTGGTTTCTCATTGGCTGGACTTCATCTGTGTGCCAGAGTTTGGAGAGGCAGACTTCACTTATTGGCCAGGGGCAAACATCTGATCACCTCATCTTTAATATGTGCCTCATTGACCGCTGGGATTACATGACAGCAGTTGGTATGTGATCACTTGTTTGGTGTGATTGTCTTGCTCTTTTTTCAGTAGCATTAAAATTGGCTTCTTTAAAAGCCTTGCCAAACCCTTTCACAAAGCCTAAACAAATTTCATCTAATATGGTTTTGGTAAAACAACCATATGAAAATGACAATAATGACAGGAGGAATGCAAACTTTTTCTGGAAGTTTCCATTCTTTTTCAAAGGTATGTTGCTTTGTTGAAAAAATGTAAAGAAGTAAACCAGAGTGGACGAATACAGCAAATAAAGGCAACCTCTGTGTACAAAGAAACTTTCTGCTTTCCATCTTATCAACTGGTTCCCATCTGATTGACAGTAGCTATTCTCTTGACTAATTTCTTTAGATGGAAGGAAAAAGGAAGTATGTTGGTATTTTTATAGTTTTGGTTTTATTATATATCAGACTTGGTGTGTATAGCACTCTTTGTGAAGAGATTGGCTCTGTAAAATTTCTGATCAATCTCTCTTTCCTATCTTACCTCTAAGGATAGTTTATCAGTAATTCTCTGGAGGTTTAGTATTACACAAAGACCAAACCATGCTACTTGGAGGGACTAAGAGGATGTAGCTGAGAAACTGGAGAAATTAGAAGAACCACATCATGACTTGGGTCAAAAACACAAATTACTTTTTTTTTTGTCTCCTTCATATTTGGCAATTGCTGATTGAATATTCACATCTAGTTTTGCTAAAAGCTAATTAAATGTGTTTTTTGTTTCCAGCTCAAATGGAGGAATATTTTTATGGGCAGGATATTTTAGGAATCTTACAGGCCTGATAACTGTAATAGTGAAGTAATGTGAGTATGTAAAAGGGATGGTTATAATGATAATATGTAAAGCTTATCGTATTTTGAGCAATATAACCATCAAAAGATAAAGCATGGAACCAAAGCAGGAAGCAATTCTGATCTTGACTTTAGTCTGGATCTGACAATTAAACAAATTGTACAAGTATAGTTCATAAAATTTTTACTCAATAGAAACCTTTGACATTATTTTACAGTCTTCAATGCAAATTAACCAAATAGGAAAAATCATTTCCTCATAATAGTATGAAAAAGAAAAGTCTACCAGATTTCTTGTCTGTTTTACAAACAAAATAATATGCAAAATATATGAGAACATGAAAAAGCACATAGCATTGCCTATTCACCCAGCATTTTTTTTTGCATTTTTATATATGTGTTTTGAGATGTATTCAAGACCTTTTTAAAATTTATTTTACACTCAGAAGAGGATCACATTTGTGATCTCTATATAAAAATATATAGGAATATGTAATTTATAGTAACCTGCAATTAATTTTATATAAACTTTATAGGCAAGTAAGAATTCTATACAATCAATAAGATCCCCTGGATACCTATAATATTTCTAATAATGTATTGGACACTTTGAGTGAGATATAAAATGTATAAAGGTCTTATTCCTCCATTATGTAGCTTGCTATTGGTTTATATCGAATATGAGAATTGTTAAAAATTATTAATAAAGCAAAATTAAGTGGTCAAGACTTGTGATGCAATAGTAGTTCTATTAAGGAAGACAACAGTTTGGACCAGAACCCAAGAATCTGTATGAAGGAGAAGTTCTTTGAGCCATTGGTAATATTTAGATTATTGTAGAGAGGTGTAAAGAACATTCCATTTGATAGGAATAGTGGTGGATGGAGATCAGTGGGAATTGTGTGAAGGTACTTCAAAAAGTTTGTGGAAGGGCCGGCCCGGTGGCGCACTGGATAGTGCGCCGCTTGG